AACTATTGCCTGTGTGTGGACCACCTCATAGACCTGTACCACTCTATCCCTGAGTATCAGTCAATTCTAAGTGTAAGTGATCAGCTGGACTTGGCTGCAGGCCCCGGACACCACACCACCCGCCGCTTGCCTTCGTGAGTGTGTGTGTTTTCATTGGACGCCCTGAAACGGTTGGTGATCAAACTCCAATGACCAAAAGAGCCACAGTGATTTAGTGGAGCGAAAATCCATTATGGCTCCATCCAAAGGTAATGACTTCTTCTGGCCTTCCAGCTGATTCTGCGCACCACGAAAATACACAAAAGTACACACTCTTACACAACGGCGCAGTGGACCGACCAATCAGGTCTTTGAACGGAGCGACATGTAGCCTCTTGGTATCTGCACTTGACATGGCTCCCCTTTAAAGTATGTTATAGCTTCAATCTCTGCGATGACAGTGGAAGCAGCGGCGCTATCTGACATACAGGCTGTGTGCTACAGAGGACATTACAGGAAATGAAAAGAGCAAGGGAACCACCGTGTTACTTGTGTCTTAATCTTTATAGACAGAATCTGGACATTGAGCTCTGACTGTACTCAGTATGGCCGCCTCGTAAAAGCAAACTCGACTTCAATTTGCCACAAAAGTCAAATGCTTGGAAAAGATAGCTGGGATCATTTTTACTTCTAGGGAATAAAATGTTAGAAACAAGCAATGAAACAAGCAAATCACTGATCGTTTATTTCTACTAAAAAACAAACTGTGATTTTTTGGTGTTTTGTAAAGAAACTGGGGGCTGCTCCAATTCTGCCAAATAATGTTTACGCTACATTCAATACTAGACATGCTAAAAGTAACAATGCAGGGCTGCAATAAAAAAAATAAATTAAAAAAACTGAAGAAAAATACAGCAAATGTAGTTTAGTGGATTTATTTTTTTTATCTGATACTAGGGCTGCACTTGCCTAGTCTGATTCATCAGGTGTTTTCACTTTGTGGAAACTGTCTGTCCTCACAGCTTTAGGATTTGTTTGCTCGACGATAGGCGGGTACTTTTTTATTTAACCAACCACTGCTGTTTGGTCCAGACATATGTAGTGCGCCAGAAGGCTCAGTGGTGTCCAAGTAACTGCCGGCTTCACAGCTCTTCGCTGACTGGCCAGTGCGAGGTCTTCAACTTCCAGGGTTCTTGCAAACTGTCAAGTGTATTCTGATTCCTGATCTAGTTGCTGGAGAGAAATTGAGAGAGATGAAATTGAGCAGAGGCACTAGGTGGCGCCAGCCTGGCTAGCACTTGCCTGGCAAATCCAGAATTATATCTCTGTATGTTTTTAGCAGCCTGATCCCCACGCCCTTGTTTATTTTCAGTGGCGCATGAGAAACGAAGGAGTTCACTGGTGACCTAACATTTATAAATAAAATCGAATTTCTCTCACCTCAGATGAAGAGCGTTTAGTGCTTTGCTTATTCTGTAGAAATCTACCATTCTTTTCAGTCCTCTGTGAATTTTTTTATTCTTTTTTCGAATATGGATGGTTTATGCCTTTCTCTGAATGGCTAATCCACCTGTCAATCATGTCATCTGAAAGCAGGGAGGCTCAGACTCACATCTTTGTAAAGTATTGAAGAAGTGCGTATTCCTAATCCCTGGCAAGGGCTGCACAATATACCATAACAGAATTAAAATTACAATTTAAATGATCAAATCAGAAAGGCTACAATTATTTAGGTAATAGAATGTCACAAAAATATCCATTATCCATATATGTTTTCATGTATTCATGTAAACCCTACAGTTTAGACCTCTACAGCCATAGGATTCTTTTATTCTTGTTTTCACAAATGTTACTTCCATTGTTTGCATTGTGAAATCTACATTGCAATAGTTGTGCAATGTAGTTAGTTGTAATATTGTGGAGCCCTGCTTAATTCCCTCCCTAAGCGCAGCGTTCTGTATCCAACCAGACACTGGGTAACAAGACTATGTAAGTCTCAACAAAATTAAATATATATTCAAGATATTGGAGAATATAATGGATAAATCACTTCACTCATTTTACCTACAGCATGTATAAATGTTTGTGAGATTAAATACATTTCAGAGGCTGTGACTGCACATTTTCAATGGAGTCTATTGATACTTTGCAGCTGATATCATCAACATTACCTTAAGGTGTGATTCTAACATTCTAGCATGCTCTGTCTGAAGCTTTGTTAGAGTTTTATTTCTACACAATCTGACCAGTGAGATCTGGCTTAGCTGAAACTACAGGTGAGCTGATTTTGCACTCACAGTTTTTCAGTTAGTCATCTTTTTGCTGAAAATCTAACTCCTATTGATCACAGGCTCATGAAACTGTGTTATTTAAATCCATTTTCATTTTATTTTGTTTTGTTTTCAGACAATCTTACAACTTTATTGACAGTGATAGTGTGTACATTGTGTCTCTATGGTAACTGCTGAACATTCCACCATTAAAAGGAATTAATTTAATTCTAATTTTTTATTATTAATTTAAAAGGAACCTACATGTTGAGAAAAACTCATATTCAGAACCAAGGTTATGGCGTGACGCATTGCTGTGAAAGGAGTTAATATATGGAATAGTCTTGATAAAGATATAAAAGAATCAAGTACAATAATGGCATTTAAAAAATAAAATTGAATGTAATGTGTATGAAAAAGGAAATGAAGTTGTTCTGCATAATAGTGAAGATTTCTGTTTGCAACTGATTAATAATTGCGACTGAAATGAAATGTACTGATTTGAAATGTTTTAAAGTAACTATTGGTGTTGATGTTTTATCTGGAAAAGGGGACAGATTCTGCTCCTTTTCATTTGTTTCTTGTATGTTTGATGTTGTGGCACTGTTAATGTCTTTTTTTTTTCTTTATGAATGAAATAAATAAACAAACAAACAAATTAAGATACATTCCCTATCAAGATGTCATTGCAAATCAATTATTATATTCAAACCAAGTTACAGGACTAAAAACTATTCACATTTACTATACAAATTGTCAAGTTTGAATTCAAACTTAAGAGACAACGCAGAAGTCCAATTTGCCTTTGATTAACTACAAATATACAAATAAGGCTGAGTAGTGGCAGCTTTAGCATATTAATTGTCTAAAGATGAATACTGCCGAATTATAAATGAATCACTAAATAAAAAATACACAGTAAGGCCAACATTACAGTTGACAACATTACAACTTACACTACAAAAAGGACCTTGTCAAAACATGCCATGACACCAGCAGCATATAAATGCTCATTAGACGCATCGTTAATTAGCTCTATAGCATTAGGTCAGCACATTAATCACCATGGTAACTGATTACATTGTGCAGCTCTTTACTGTTGCAAATAACAATTCTCAGTCTTGTAAAGGAGCCAATTAGGGAGTTGAAGGTATGAGGGCATAGCGTTGCATGATATGATTATGCTGTTTACTGGGCATATGTGGCTTGTTATTGGACAGCTTGAGGCCACAGATATGTGTATGGTGAGACGTGAGCAGACTCAGATAGCCTATACAAAGCCAACAGGGAGTGTTGCATATGGAGGAGGATCATCACAGTAAGTCTCGGCATCTTGTCAGGGCAGGACTATTGGCTGTGGCCTAGACTATGAGCCAACTAAACCACTTAAAGGTGCGTTGTGTAACTTTTCCAGTGAGGGGTCTGCAACTTTGATGAGAGATGTAATTGCATTGGCTTGTATGTTCTACACTCTGGTATAAATCTATCTTGCTTTTATTCATACAGGCGTTTTGTTGCTAACATTAATTTTAATTTGAGGAGTTTATTCAGGAAGCAATTTAGAGCCATTTTAAAAAGTAACTGGAGGCTTGCAATGTTTTTAAAAGCTAATTGTATTTTACTAAATTCACAATATTATTAAATCCTACCTTGATAAAATCAGCTCAAAATTATTTTCAAGATGGAAAAAAATATATTTTTGACAAGTTTTCCAAATTAAGTTATCTGATTTGCAATTATTTTTATTCTAATTAAACTTTATTTTTTGCTAAAAAGAAAAAATCAAGACACAGACCTCACCTGTAAACATGGTCTAAAGATCATGATGACCAGAAAAGTTATATATTGCATCTTTAAATGTAAGTCCAAGCTGATAAGATCCTCCTCGCATCCTTAATACACGGCACAAAAGCCATATTAATCCCATTGAGTTCCCCCTGCATGATCAAAAGCGCACAGTCTAGTGATTAATTCAGTATTCCGTTTTGTGACCACCGCTGAATATATGAGGTGAGAGCCGCACTACATGGACCTCGTTTGCATGCACGGCCTCCTGTAGTATTGATCTAGCTGTCTCTCCAACTGAAAGATTGTAGATCCATAACCTTTAGTGAAAATTATGTAAAACGGCTGCATGCAACACACATGTACGGTGCCCAGCTATGCACCAGCCCACAAAGCATCAATTTATTCCTTCAAACAGACCGAAGTGACAATTTGAAAGGTTTTCTTAGTTTCAAAAACAGAATTTGCATTGTTGCTATAGACAGTAACAATAAAAAAACATATTTTTAAAAAACACATATATGGTCTTTTGAATGGTCAGAAGTACTATGGTACTGAAAGTGAAACCCATGAATAGCTAGGCCTGTCGGAAGCAAAATTAAAGATGCACTGCATTGCGTTTCTAATGAAGGGTGATGTCTCCATGGAAATGTTATTAAATATCCAAGGAAGTGTTCCACTGTATACATTAAACCTATCTATCACAAGGAGAAAAGCAGGTTACAGCAATACGCTACATTACAGTTCAGATCTGTGGAGAGTTGCTCTATTCACAGAAGGAATGATTGTTGTTTTGAGTAACAGAAACACCTGCAATGAATAAATGCTAGCTGGATATGGATGGAGACAAGCAGGTGTGTCCAGCTTTTCCACCAGAAAAGTTGCGCAGTGCACCTTTAAGTCTGAACTTGTATTGTGGAAGGACAACACTCGCTCGCACTGAAGTCTGTATTTGTAAAGACTTACCTTTCATACCGAATTTGTTGCGGCGGCCATATTTGTTGATGAGAACAAAGAGAACGAGGAGGAGGACACAAGCAAATCCTGCCAGACCCACAGCAATGGAGACCTGGGGGAAACAGCAACACAGTGTCAGATACGGCGATGAGAGAGCTGGGCCAACTTCAAAACCCACTGCACATTTTTGATGACAGAATGACAAAATCAGACTCTAATCCCCAGATTGTGATGACTGCTTTCCGTGAGATTGCACCAGTTTGCTCAAAGTAAACACCTGTCTTGTCCATGATACGGTGGAGATAACAGGAAGTAATTTAAATATATGTACAGGCAGATTTATTTACTCGGGTGTTAAGGGGAACAGCAGTGGTGACTTTGTTGTGCAGCGGCTAAAGCGGCGCTCAGAAATGCCTGCCCAGCCTCACATGAAAGCCAGCGAGACAGTTCCCAGGGAGCATTAACCATGTAACCATGGGCACAATTACTGAGTTTTTCAAATAAAACTATTACAAATAATGGGACTGATTTCTGTGAATTTGACATGAATTTACAGGGAACACAAGATAAATCAGACATCATTCGCTTTCTATCAGAAGTAAAAATGAAAAAGATAAACAACCAACATAATTTGATCAACCAGTGTTTTGAATGGTTTTCTAAAAGTGGTCAGATAGCATTTTCAGTGGACTATAACTATAAAAAATAAAATGTTGGGTTGGTGCATGGAGTTACAGAAAACTCTGAACTCCAACTGTGTAGAGAGCATGAACTCTACGCTTGATATTCATTTGAGTAGCCTCAAAACAGTAGGCCACTTTGTTCAATACTAAAGTGATTAACATAAACCGTAACATAGTAACAAGCAAACATTTTCACTTGTTTACTGCACTTGAACATTTTCACAGAAAGATACCTCTTTCTTTGCCTAATTTACCAACTCCATTTTGTGGAGTTGGCCTGCACTGTAATTAGAACATGACCACTTTAGTTTTGCTAAGTTAGTTTGTCTCTGTCATTCGGTCACTCTGACATGATACAAAAAGATAACTTGTTAGCTTACTGTATTCAAGGATTTTGATACAAACACAAAAGTGATCATTTACACCATCACATCTCATTTCTCTCAACAGCTGAGCTGCCAGGCTGTTCACCATGGCAACGCTCCTGTTAACTTTATCGGCCTTACTCAGATGATCCATCACAATTTAAAGCCTTTACATGTGCCTTATTGCCTGACAGAGATAATGAGGAATCATTATTAAAGAATACCATGTCTGATGTCACTGATTAATATTACTATTAGACAGCATCTATCACACATAACTGCAGTTTAATTTGGTTTCAGAGATGAAATAACACTTAAGGCAGTGTTGAAGTAAAACGTACACTACCACCTTGTACAACCTTCACTACAACATTACTGCTGTTACTACAAAACATCGTGTATGTACTAATATGTAAAGACAAAAAAGAAACAAACATTAACCATATCATGTGGTCAATGCCTCTATATGCCTCCATATTACCCTAAACATACACTTTTACAACAAGGGCACTCTTTATTTTTTTTTTAAGTTTCAAAGAGAGGGTATGTAGGTAATATTTTATATTGTGACCTGCATACTTTGGGTTGCCAGATTCTACTACCAAAACAAGTTGGAGAGGAATCTAATCTTTGATCTGAATAATCACTGGCAAAAGTCAAGCACCTACCAATAGCCAATTATAAATAAGTGCTAGCGTAGATCATCAGATTTAGTTGGTGCAATGCAGGTTAAAGGTGCTGTACCAGATTTTTTTTAAATTGTCTTAAAATGTGGAAAAACGGAACTAGTTCATTTTAAATGGTTTGGTTTTTAGTGGTCAGTTATTCAGATATACACATTATGCATTCCGATCATCCAAGTACTCTAAGCACTTTTCTTCCAGAGCGAAGTTTTGTCACCATGGTAAATCTAACAACAACTGGCATGCCAACAGTGCATTCTTTGACTTATTTTGACATGCTTGTGCTGCTTATACAATCTATCTGTATTGGGGCAAGACAAATTGTGCTCAAATACATGGAAAAATTGGGTATAGTTATTTTAAGCACTGGCAACCCAGATTGAGTCGTGACTGTAGTCCCTTTTGAGTCATACATACCCTATCTTTAAATGAGCAGTCCCATGTACTTGTCTTAGAAATGGAGCAGTGAGCAGTGAATGGATGACCACCATCATTACTATTATTAATTACACTAGCTCTGTTCCCATGGCGTCATGTCAAAACGCCCGCCGAGAAAAGCCCATAATTCATTGCTCCTTTAACACCTCTATCAATTAAAACCACAGTGGAAATAATTTGCCTCCCTTCGTGTCAGCAGACAAACAAAACAAGTACGCCCACTGCAAGATACAGCGCTATGCCATCATCAACTACTCTCACCACAACAGCCCTGAGAACGCCGCATTGTTCTTTGTGTCTGTGTGTCACCCAAAACACAAGCAGGCGTTTAGAAGTGGGAGAAAACAGAAACCATGGCGACGGAATATACAGTAGAATAGATAGAAAACTCACCCCAAATGTGTCTTCTTCTGGTCGACCAGTTTCTCCACCTGAAAAGACAAAAAATCACTTTAAGCTATTTTTAAAAGTAAAAAGTTATTATCCACGTTAGCAGATGTTATTTACTGTAGTGCATTGATGCCACTTTGAGCCTTAGGTGGGCTGTACCTTTGATATTACTCAATAAGTTTAAGGCTTACCTCTTGGGCCTTTTGATGGGGAAATTCAAATAAGCATAAGATTCTAGATGTTTTGATTAAACTTGAATGGGTTTCTAAAATATAGATAAAGAAACATAGAGGAAAGATATTTTATATATCTTAATTCTAACTCTTTAAGGTCCTATATTACACAAAATTGACTCATGTGAGCTTTAAGCCCTATTATAATGTTGTTACCTCCTTAAAAACATATCCAAAACATACTCGGGGTTGGTTTTTGTTTCATTCACACATGTCCGAGTAATCCTTTATTCATTACCAAGCACCATGCCTCAACAGTGGAATACGATAAAGATATTTATTGACAGTGGACAGATACGATGGCTGGGGGGAGACTCAGGGAGGGGGCTCCATCTCCAAACCAAAATGGTCACCCAGCTGATTCAGAACCCCCCCTCCTTAAACATGACGTCTTCGGACAGAGGGATGGACAAGAGACACGGTGGGAGGGAGGGGGGCCAAAAGAGCTGACATGGACGGTGTTGTCGGGATGGCCGTATAAATAGGGCTTCTGGGTAATTGAATGCGTGGTTGAGATAAGCTGTGGTTAGTTAGAGAGGAGGTTGAGGCGCGGTCCAGCTCCTGAATCTCAGTTAATCGCATTAACTCCACCTATGAGTCTGTCTACATCTTCAATCTCTTGTGATGTCATGAAGCAGTAGTTTTCAAGTTAACAGCTACCTTATCATTTGTTTAGTAGAGAATGGAAACTCCAGGGCTGAAATGATCCAAATGTCTCTAGTAAAGAAGTTTAAAAACTGAGTGGAGCACATCCTGAATTACCATGATATTTGAAAGCCTAAATATACAGGGTGTGTGTGATAAATATGTGTGAATGAAAGTAACACAACTCCATGTATGTTTTTGATGAGGAAACAACATTATAACATGGATCAGAAAAAATATAAGCCCTTTAAGAAGCTTTATAATACCAAGTGATTGCCATGATCACTTCACACATTTGAAAACATAAATGTATGAACGAATTATTGTAGTCCATTGCTGCAACTTTGTGCCGTAGGTGGGCCACATGCTTACCTATTTAGATTAACTAATTCACTCACTATGTCTTTTGTTAGAGTGAAGGAATCAGTCCAGTTGTTCTGATTGATTAAATATGCTATGAGTGCTTACAAGCCATTTTATTGACTGGGTTTATAGAATATATAACTAAGAGAATTTATAGATGTTATTTCAACTCTTAAGAAGTTTTATAATACTAAGTAGTTGTAGTGATCACCACTAAAAAGTCTTAGTGCCTTACTGCAACCTAGCCAAGATTTTATAGTTTGTATTAGTGCAAAATAAACATTTGGAAATGCTGCTAAATGGGATCAGTTTGGGACATAGCAACTCCAACTTAGACACACTTGAACCTAATCCTTGACATTCCTTGTGGATAGGGTGTTAAAATTCCATGCCTCACACCAGTACGCACACAAAGTTAGGAGGATAGTGACTGGAGCAGTAAAGGAGAAAAGGACAGACATAGAGCCATGAAACCAAATGAACTAGTGTGTTGGGGGGACTCCGGCACAGGGCCCCTAGCCAGGACAGCACGCAGTAATTGTGAGCAAATTAATGGCCACATGGTAGAGAGGCTGCCAATGGCTCAGAGACACACGGCTACAATTGTCCAGTGAGTGCGCCCTAACGATAATCTCTGTTCCTCCTCGCTGGTGCCCTCCTCTGTCCTAACTGCTTTATATAGTAACAGTCTGTGCAAGGAAGAAGAGCCATGGCATAAGACTCTACCGTGTAATGTAAAACACAAATACCTGCACAAGATAATTTTGTGGCTTTAATGATACTTTGCAGTGACATAATGCTCACGGTATGTGCATTGGAGGAATGTTCACCAGTTACTGTGGAAACATAATGCACACATTAGCAAACACACAGTTTAAAGATCATCGAAAATACTAAATTAATTTAAATAACACATTTTCAGAGTGTGCGATCTAATGCTAACTAGATTTTGACTGTAAATGTGTGAGGGACTTGTTAAACAGTACAAAGTCATCTCACCTGTTGTAGTTTCAACTAAGTCATTTCTTTCTGGTCAGATTGTGTTAAAATAAAGCTCAGATTAAAGTTTAGCAAAGGCTCAGATCTACAGTGCCTACATTAGCATCACACCCCCAGGGAATGTTAATGTTAATCAGCTGCAAAATATGAGTATATATTTTTGTGTTTGAAGTAGATATTGCATTGCAGTGTCTACTGTAGGTAGCTCATGGACCAGCTGGATACCCACTAGTTGGAGCGCAAACACTGACGCCACTATGCCACAGCACTTTCAGAAGGAAGGGCGACAGAGAGTCACTGATTAGAGCTCTCCACTAAGGTCAGAGGTTTGAACTCTGCTTCACCCACTACCAGTGAATATTACTGCAGTGTCCTTAGGCAAAGTACCTTGCCTAGTGGCTGTTGTGAGTAGTTATTGGTGACAGTAATTGCATGATCTACAGATATGGCAGTGTTTTGATCATTTTATATAATCAGACAAGCGCTACGTATAGTGACAGAGAGACCATTCATTCATCTGGCTCTGGGCCTGGCTGCAGCTTAATACTCCAGCACTGATGAGAAATAATAGCCTTGTGTGGAGATGGAGGGAGACTGTGATAGAGGTCAGAGGTCAGATCGTCCCTCTTTGTTTGAGCGATTAACAGCGAGGCCCTGGAGCCACACCACAGCTGCAGATTTACGAGGCAGCGCCAGGAGCCAAGTGTCCAGCTGTAGGACTGCAGCACATGGATATTCATATCTCAGCACAGCGGGCGGGGTGTGTACGCACAAGGTTACTATCAGCTGGGACAAACCAAAACACAACATTACCAAAGATCTACAAATCATCACAGAGAACTTGGTATGCCTTGGTATGGCAATAATAGTGATAAAAGACCAACAAGTATAAAGCTTAGAATAGGTGCCCTTTAGCAAGGCATACAGGAGTGGTGTATGCTAAGTGAGAGCAGACTTCCTCCATGAATGCTGTCAGCGCCCACACAGCCATGCTAACAGTTTTACTGCAAACCAATAGCTGCAAAACGACGCTCTGAACACAGATAAATGTGTGTGTATCACACAGACAAAGACATAAATATAAAGCTAAGGCTAAATTTGGAAATACAATTACTCACCTACTTCCACTAGGCCTGTAAAAGAGAAGACAATGAAAGTCATGCTATGTCAATACACTGACACTGGGCATTAACCTTGGAGTATTGAACATGGGGAGAAATCCAGCTGCCTGTGTGGTCCATTCTCTCTGAACTCTTTGTGAACCCAAATGAACAATCTACCTGACTGCACTGTGGATGAACCCTGGTGCCTCTTCTGCAGCAGGCTCACCCCACATCTGCACCCCAGGAAGGCCCATTTTAACACTATCTAAACGTCCCAATGTCTTTTTCCAACAATCACATCTGTAACTGTAAGCACTGCTACGTTCATCAGAAACACAATGGGTCACAGACCTGTGCTCCTTACACCTCTCTTACACAAACAAATTACTCTTCCAACTTATTTAAATTTTTTTTATTTCCATGTTTGAGCTATAAAAACATTTGGGTAATATTTGTCAGTAAGTCCCACCTGCGTACACCTTAGCTGTAAACATGGAGACATCCACTCATATTACATCTGTCAAAACGAATCTGAATCTTAGCTGCACTGCTCACCTCCTTCCTCTATGTCAGCGTCCGGCTCAGACAGGAAGTGTCCATATACGGTCTTAGTGACTGTGCCCAGGGCGTTGCTGGCCTCCAGAGTGTAGTTGCCGTTGTTGATGTGTGTGGGGTTCTGGAAGGTCAGACAGCCCTCCAGATAGTCCTGGTAGAAGTCCATCTCTGTGCGGATGTACTTGTTCTGCACTATCTCCTTCTGCTTGTGGAACCAGCGCAGTTTGGGGTGGGGGTATCCTCTCACGGTGAACTCGATACAGGTGTCATGGCGCTGTTCTGGCTCTGCCAGTCTTAAGATAACAGGAGGAACTGCAAAAAAGACACATATACTTACAATATGTTTAAATACACAATTGTAAATGAACTGTAAAATGTGTTTACAAACACTGCTGCTGATACACTTCCATTTATGTGTAATGTTAGAATAAGCTTTAACTCCTGGTTGAATTCTCTTGTTTCCACAATAAAATGGCTATTCCTTAACATACTTAGTACTCTATATAAAACATTACAGCTTTAGAAATTACCATAACCCATGGGCTCATGAAAGCCTAATGTAATTCGCTGCATACACTCAAAAACGGAGCCGCAGAATGAACTCAGTGCCCATTAGATTTACAGTGAAAAACACCTATTACATTGTTTTTGCCTGGCAGTAGCACAGTCATTCTAGTTTGTGTAGCAGAGTGCTGTACACGGGGCAGTGAGCTGAACAAACCCTGTTCATGACACGCTGCCACCGCCGCCGAACTACGGACGGCGCGCTGAGAGGCAATTTATCACTTTAATGCCATCAGATACATTTCATAAACAATTCATCGGCTGATTTGTCTGTGCATGACTCACTATTGCAGCCGCATCATCAAAGGGAAATATTTGGCTCGTGGTAATACCTGGCAGCGTGTGTTCTACAGGCAAAGCCCCTCCCTCACTGCAGCGCACATGCAAGCACTGCTGCTAGAATATGTGTGAGCAATCCTATTTACAGCGTAGGACTAGATTATGGTGCACGTATCGCCTCCATGCTGACATCTCATTCACACAACAGTACAGATGCCCGATGAATCACTACCTGCACTCTCCGTCAAAGCCTCAAATATACCTGCGCATTTCTAAAACCAAGTAGTTTTGTAGCTTAAGCAGGAATCGCATGGGCTGTTTGCTCCATTTTTGCAGAGCTATTTTGAAAGGTGATTAAAACTGTAATGTGTAATGACTACAGAGAACAAATTATATATTGCTGGATTTTGTTTAAATGGGAGCAACCTGCTACATATCCTTTAGAAGAGACTTGTTGTACATGAGTAGGAAAACCAGAGTGACTAGATAAAAACTACCAGTCAAAGGTGTAGGTAGACTTTTTCATGTAATGTTTCTTCTTTATTTTCATGACTATTTCTATTATAGATTCTCACTGAAGGCACCAGAACTGTGACTGAACACACATGGAATGTAGTCAACAAAGAAGTGTGAAAGAACTCGAAACATGTTTATATTTTAGACTTTTTAATAGATAATTATTAGACAGTTTTGGTGTTATACTAATGAACCCTGAAGCGGTACACAATGTGAAGTGAAAAACATTTCAGGTAACTCCATGATGAAACGAACTGAGAGAAGGCAAAGGGCTTGCAGTGTTGTCAAAAAAGAAAAGGGTGGCTAATTTAGTGGCTACAGTTATTTAATATTTCTACTTTCCTACAAAATTCCATACATTTGGCTTCATATATTTGAAGACTTCAGTGTGTATGTACAATATTAAAAGGCAGAAAATAGTAAATATTAAGAAAAAAGATTTTAAAAAGCCCCACCCACTACTGGAAATGGACCTAAGACGTTCTTGATATGAGGCAGACAGCTCCAATTAAAGAAAAGAATATAGGGAAATCTAATGAAAATGTAATTCTACCTTCAATTTCATACCAATTATAGTGAGGAGTGAAGCAGTTTAATGCACAGCTTTTTGTGTTTGACAAAAGAGCTTCAATTAGAGACCTAGAAAGGGACAAATTGCTAATCACACATTATAAATAAAATTATCATTTTGAGCAGCTTGTGCATGCATGATTATGTGAATGTTGCAGAATGTACAGAAATGTATTGTCTGGAGTTTGCTGGAGTTGACTCATTTCTTATTCATGAATGTTGTTCTTCGTGCTGTGAGTTGCCAATGGAATACATTTAGTCCATACTTAATTACAATCATTATCATTTTATTATTGGAAGCAACTCAAGTCGGCTTTAGAATACAGAATGTACTATTGTCTTGCAAATATTCTCAGAGCAGATGGACTTTGCTCAGCTCTCAAGGTACTTTGTAAATTAATATGTCAGTTGTGTATATCGGTACGACCTCAGTTGTGAATAAGTTGTGACGTATAGGAAGGGCAAACTTGGAAGCTCTGTCTTTTTACCAAATAAGCAGGTATGCATATCAAACACTGTGCACTTGTACTTAATCTGAGCAGCACATCGCACCGGGGATGTGGAATGAGACTGTGTAGGTGTCTGAAATATCTGAATTGGTTAAACAACGCTTTCTTAAACCTTTTCTTTTTTCATGAATTCTGCCAATGTGAAGCCAAGTGTGCTTTTAAAAGAACTCATCCCTGAAACACTTTATAATTGCTACACAATTAACCTTAATAAAGAAAGAGCAAATATTTAAGAAATAGTTTATTAAGACTGAATTAAGCTTTGTAACTATTTAATACTCTAACCATAACTATAAACCTTAAGCCCTAAAGCCACACTGTGTAACATTTTATTTCCACAGCAGTGTGAAATAAAAGCAACACATTATTCTGGTTGTGTTTATTGCATGTGCTTACTGTGAGCGCTGCAGGCTTGCATCTCCATAAACCTGACTCTTATTAGGCCAGGAGGCAGACGTCCTCCTACTTGTGTCCATAGAAATCTTGTTCCTTTGGCTTTAATATTCCACAGTATGCATAAAAACAAAGTTACAAAGAAAGATTCTAACTTTCTATTTCAATGGAATCACGAAGTTGATGTGTCACCTTTAGAAAGTACTAACGCTGAATCATTCTTAATCATGTTTATTCAAATGAAGGTTTAGTAAATGTAACTGAATTATTTTAAATGTGAAATAGAATTAAAGTGAAAATGTATTCCTAATTTTAAACAACTTTTAAGTAAAAACACAATAGTAGTCGGAAAAGCTGTATAGACAAAGTGAAAAGGAGGGAAGAAAGAAGTCAATTGTACATGAGTGCTAACAATCAAGAAAATGTGTGTAATTAATAGATTTGGGTTTTAAGCACAATACTTTACCCCAAATGACACAATCAACATCTCTCAGAGTTGAAAGCTGTCATTTGGCAAATAGCTTTAGCGATGTTGTTTCTAAGTGACAAGAGTAACAATCAAGTCATTGAATTGAACTAAAGGCTAGGGCTGCAGTACGTGAGAGCATTTGGGAGCGGAGGCGTGTGTTGAGCTGCAATTTTTTTGAGCACATAACAGGAAGAAGAAAAAAAAATCCAGTCATATAGTGAAAGAGAAAAGACAAGACAACGGGAATTGGAAAAAAATAGTTGATGGACAGTCAGGGACCGATCTATTTTCTGCCAGGCGTGCGGCAGTCGATACAATGCTAGTCATTACGCCGCTCCACACCGCTCTGCAAAAACATGGCGGTCTGGTGGGGTCCATACAGATGACAAGGTTTGAAAAGAATATCTCTTAGATCAGAAGGGCCACAGCGCAGGCCTATGGAGGTTATATGGCGCTTCTACTGGTATGTTTTAAAAGTCATGTTTCGGTGCACTACAGTGATAGCGGATCATGGCTAACAGTGACAACCAACATATTCACAGGACTGGAGTTGAGCATATCCCCTGGGCTTCTCTGAGCTGGGATTACAATGTTCCAGCTAGAATAGTGAGCTTGCATTCTCCAAAGGGTGGGGCAATCGGATAATGCCGTAATAGCTGGGGACAATTATAAAGAATACCTCATGCTAAGTGGGAACCTATTAAAGAAAATTAATAGAAATGTGATTTGATGTTAGCCAGGCATTACATTCCCAGAGCTCATATGGCTTCCCAGAGAATTCTTTGCAGATTCTCTTTGTATTTCAAGGTGGATTTTTTACCCCCGTGTGCATACATACAATAGGTGACCAAGATCCAGGCTCAGGATGGGTATCTCTGTATTTGTATTGGTCACTATAATTTCTATGTCAACTTATCGTTCAATATTCAAAAGTAATATTTTGTCTGGACGAGTTGGGATTTTATGTGGTAAGTACCATGTTTGAGCTTAAGGCTGCCACACACTACAGGATTTTTCAGTCTTAAGTGATTTTTAAATGTGCGACAAAAAGAGCACACCACAGACAAGAGGAGAATCTTACGAGATTTTAAATCTATGATTGCAAAGACTGCAGCAGGATATAGCTGTGGAGGAGGAGATGCCGCAGTTTATATTTACAACTTTACAAGTGGTGAGTAATAAATTCTCCTCATTATTTTCGCTATTTCCGGAGCTGAGTTTGTATCTTGTGCCTCTGTGTCCGTCACTCCATCTGCCCCTGACGCTCTGTTTTATTGGATGTTGCCGTAGCAATGTTTGGTCGTTACCATATGAGAAAGCAGCTCAGAATCGCACTGAGACCACACACGAGGAGCACAGTGGCTTCAGAATCGTGTATGAAGAAACAAAGTCGGGTTTCGCCTCCCTGAACTCGGATTGAAGCAAATCATAGTCTAAATCGGGCAAATTCTCCTATAGTGTGTGGCGGCCTTTAGAGGTCAAACAAGTAACTTCTTTGGCTGATTAGAAATACTGAAATGTTTATTTTCATTGATTTATAGCATTTTTTAACATTAACATTTTAACAGTGTTATTTAGAAAACAGTTTCCTTGGATTTCCTGTTTTAAGGTAATGTTTGAATATTATTGTTTATACAAATATTTGGAGAAACATGACACATGTTTATCACACTTTAAAATGTGTTATTGTGGTCAATTTGTGAAGCTACGTTGGTTTTGATGTGAATGAGCGTTCAGGTGGTAAAGTATCCACTGATCTGAAGACTAGTGGTGTGAATCCTGCGCTCCACATAAATATCATTAGTTGAGCGTTCAGATTGCTGACACTCTGGGCAAGTGTCAATCACAGACGTCTGAACTCTGGAGTCCAAGTAGAATACTAACAAATATACCAAAATTACATCATGACTTTTACAGGTGAAGTAAACAACAGATTATTTCATTGTGTTAAGTTTTTTTTGTTGTTTTGTTTTTAATTGAAACTGATCACTAAGCGGTGGCTATAATGCTATACACTACTTGATGCACATGCAGGCTTTGTAAGAGTGGATACATGGTTTCAGATAGGAAGTAGTACGCACCAGAACAAAAGCTCTACCATCATCTTTGTTGTTCATTTTTGCTTCCTCTTCTAAGTTTAAAGACAGCAAGGCCAGCTTTTGATTGCAGTCACTTGTTCTTGACGGCTTCTAATTTGGCTGTCAATCAGATTACTACAGAATCCAAGCTGCAGTTTTAGCTATTTTATGACATTTCCGGAGACAATAGCCGGCACAGGGGACAGAATGTAATTACCATCAGAGCATGTGGTGAAAATTTAATAAGTTAATTTGCGGCGGTGGCAGTGGAGAGTGTCAACAGAAGAGAAAGAAGCAGTGAGATATGCCTGGGGGGATGTATGTACGAGTATATACTGTACTGTCTGCAGATGGTTCAATGCTGAAAGTCCATCGGTCATTTTGTTGCGCTCCTTGGCTGCTCTGGGACTGACTGGATGGGTGACAAATTTGGCCCCTGTCCTGTGCTGTGATGCACTACAATAACCACAATGCATCATGGTTTACAACTGAAATGTCACAGAGTTTCGATCAGTCTTGTTTTATAGGATACAGTATGTTAAAGGTGAGGGATTAATCACAACTGAATCATAGTCGTAATATGGACGCTTACAATTAGCAAACTGCAAAGACTAATATTATTTAGGCTATAAAATGTCAACATTCTGTCTCCATGATCATGTATAAAAGCTGCTGGCATGTGGTAACACAGGAAGTACTCCACTGTGTTTTTAAACTCCATACACCTTTACTACACAATCATTGGGATGATTAATATATAATAATTTATATATAATATATTTCAGTAGTATCTCTAAGAATAATATATGGGCAAACAAGATAATTACTGTAATTAAAATGGAATCAACAGGGACATTTCTGGCCACAATGGCCCCCTGAAATCTGACCAGCCACCCGGTGTATCTGGACATGCCCTTAGGAATCAAAATGAGAAAAGCTGCAACTATAGGCAGTGTAAAGCCTGCAAACAGCAATACATTCTGTTGACATTCATTTCATTATTTCTTATTTTGCTGACCTTGTAGTTTTACAAACATGTTTTGAATGTATGAGATTTTTTACTCAGCCAGCCAGAACCACACGTTTTGAAAACATTTTTACAAAGATGTATCTGGAGCTGCATCTTGTCTCCCTGCTTTCAGGAGGGTGTGATTGACAGGAAGATTAACTAATCAGACGCATGCTCCATTTGTGTCAAAAACAAATATGGCTACTTACATAAAAAAAGGAGAAAAAAACAAATTAACTGGACTGAGAAACAGGGTGAATTTTTCTCAGAATCAACAATCTAAACACCAAACTGTTATTTGTCTCAGATAAAGTTAAATATTTTGACCTGAATGACATGAGAATTGAGGAGACGTCTTCCACATTTAAGACATAGACTGTATATATAAATGGACATAGCTAATGCTCTAGCTTGGCATATTCCAAGTTTGCAGACAGGCGCTTGCGACTCCTTCTGACCCTGGTTCCTGCTGACTTGCATGGGAATATTTTGGCCCCTTTCTTTGTACCTGCTGCAGTAAGCCTCGTCATTTTGGTCTTAAAATGTTCATATGAACCTATTCTACATGATCCTGGTGTTTTTATTTCACTATTTTGTCCGTTAAAAAAAATCCTATTCCTTATATAGAACCTGACTCCAGATTCGCCCCTGTAACCGTGAGCATTGTGAGCCTCATATGACTGGAGCTGAACACTATGGGTGACGTCACACTCGCTTAGTCCACTTCTTTATACAGTTTATGAGACACACATGCTGCAAATTAGCAGCTGTGGCTGGAAGTTTGGACAGAGGATTTTTGCTCTCTATTCTCCGATTCCACTGGCTGTTCTGGTGATGAGATTTTTACATTGGTATTCATATTTCAATCTTCTCTAATCTTCATTAAAATGTTAATGTGCTTAGTCATGTTGTGAGGGCACTATGAACATATTGGAAAACATTTATTTTCGTCCATAATTGTGCTGCCCTAGCCCCTGGTCATGTTAGAATGTGCACTTAAAATGTATAATATCTGACCTTTTTTATTCCAACAGTCCAATGCACCCAGGGCAGGTCCAGAGGGCAAACTGTATGTCCACCCAATAGTACAAACTCCTAATGTAGATAGTTAGTAAGATCATAGCTGTATCATTGCTGAGGGTGTTATTTTCCGTATCGTGTTGTGCTCAGATGGAGGCCAGCCTTTCATGTGGGCTGCAGGCGATATTCCTGCTAATTGGCTACATCAGTTTCACTTGGTTTGGAGCCGTGCAACACCTCATTGCATCCTAAATGTACCTGCATAATATGCCTGTTCGCTCGGATACAGCAGATTTTTCTATCCAGCTGTAAATTATTCTTTGAGCCTGTCAGTGTCATTATTGCCAGATTTATTTCAGGCCATATCAGAATGAGTCGTGTCGAAATAAATCCGTAAAAAGCTAATGCAGGAAAAGCTTATGGATACTGCAATTTATTTCTTGCATTTGATGGTCTGTATTTATGGGTTTCAGAGTGATGGAAAATTAGGACTATTGTCATAGCAAAAAATTATTTTAAAGTAAATGTTTTATCTTTTGCATTGTCAAAAGTCTTCAAAATGGTCCCTATAAAGAGGCAGATGAAACCCATGAATATTGTATGAATATGTGTGATGTCCTGTATATTGCAATATAATAATTCTGCTTAAAATATATATGTCTGTATGTGTGTATGTACGTTAAAAAGATTTACATGACTTAAAGCACTTTACAACATAGAAGCATTCACAGTCATCCTACTTGTATGCAGCCAATGGGTGAAGAGTCTTGTTCAAGGACACAGCAGTATGCACTGCCAATAATGAGTGCCAACATTTTTGCAATTTTTGTTTTTCAATCCAGTTGTATGTATTACTACGGCAAGTTTCATATTGATACAGATACTGAAGCCTTGCGCATAGAGACTTGTCTTCTATACTATACTATACTATACTTTTGTACTATACTATCTGTATTATCTTGTCTCATTGTCTTCACTACACCCCAACTTCAACTGATCTAAACTGCCTTTTTTTTTTCTCTTTTTTTTTTTTAGGTTTAGATTAAATTTTTATTTTCAGTATGAGAATCCATACTTTTCAATTCCTCAGTCGGTATAAATCAGTCCATCCATCACTACCATGAGATGTCCAACAAACACAAGTTTGATATAACCTAAAGCAGTGTGTTTAGTTTGCTTCACATACAGCAGTTACAGTGACTTAAACATCTATCTTTGAAGCACTGTCTAAGACTGCCTGTCTAATTTGTGCTGTTTGGTCCAGTGAGATGTGTTGTTTTTGCTTCTTCAGTGTACCATTAAAGTTGCTCTAGAGTCTATGTAAGCACATTGTACACTGCCCTAAAGCCGGCGGAACAAAAAGCGTCTGTACATGGATCCAACAGACAGTCTGATAACCTTTTAATGTGAAAGCCTCCGCTCTGTGGTCGTCAACAGGCTTTTATTTCATGCAATCAGTCCAGCAGCAGGCTCACTGATTAGCTCTCTTTAACAACACACCAGCATACAAGTGTTCGGGCATCAGCAGCACAGGCAAGGATGCAGGAAAAGACTCATTTCAGGAATGAATCAGAAAAACAACTAATACTAGTAAATGCTGCTGGTTGTGAAGTTGATTTTATTAGTGCTGCTAACCGTGACACAGGTTAGACAGTCAATTAGCAGGATTCAGATTATTACAGTTGTGGCAGACAAATTTATATTTTGTAGTGTCCATGTATAGGGTTGGGCGATAGGACAAAAATAATTTCACACAAACATTATATTCAGTGAGTGAGTGACATCATTATCATTATGTTTTCCTTTATGATTCAATACTGTACAGTATACACTATACTATACAGTATGTACAGTAGATACTGTATACCATATTAATAATAACTATTATCATTATTATTATGTTTTCTTTACGTCATTCAAGTGAATGGGTCAAAAACAGTTTATCATGAGCCTGTGTGAAAGGCTCATACAATTGTTTGGTATTATTTATCTGCATTGGGTAAACATATTAAGTCAGGCTTTGTTTTAATGGGATGAAATACGCGGGCCACATCAACCACACTAATCATTTAAAATAAGTCCAATGCAAATGTGGAGATTACTTAGGCAAATGAGTTCATTAGAAGCAAATATTTAGTGTCAACACATGCACCCAGTGCACTGGGAGTAAATACAAAGTCTTAATGAGATTGTGTTGTTTATTTGTAAGTGGGGCCCTAGTGTTAAAGCAGTTAATCTGTAGGTGTCCAATTTGACCTGACATATCTGTTCTATTTTCATTTGTACATTCACTACATTTGTGATACTGAATTGGAAAAAAGTTGAATTATTTCTGCAACTTTGAAACCAACAACATAAATACAATTGCCAAAAGTTCTGAATATTATTAGGATGTCCAGTAATTCCCAAAGTTCCATCCAGCTAACTCATTCCATGTGTTCTCCTCTCTTCTGTAGTCCTTTGAAATCCTTATAATCCTTATAAAATAAATAGACGTCTAATGTAAATATTTGGTGAACTATGATGCTATCGACTAAATGACTAAAGGTCTACAGCCCTGTTACAGAACCTTTAATTAGGAGCTTGCAGTTTGCAGAGGTCAAAATGGTACTCACACTGGACGTTGAGCTGGATGGAGGAGTTGGTCATGCCCACCACGTTCTCGGCAATGCAGGTCAGCTGGAAGTTGTTGTCATCACGACTGATGTTGAACAGAGTCAGGTTTATGGAGTGGATGTTGGGCCAATACACGTTTGACTGTGGAGGAGACAACATGTAAGACACAGATGCTACAGTGTAGATTTACACCATGGAAATATAAAGCATTCTGGAGATGAACCAAAAATACTGATGCCAATGAGCGCGCGCATTACTTCCTGAATACTGGCCTAACTACTGCTGCTAGAGCTGAGCAAGTACGGGCTTAGAGAGGGGCTAGGATAAATCTTACAAAGCTAACTTTTCGGTGCTTTGATAATCTAAAAAGTTCATATTGTAAAACTACCAAAGAATCCCTGCAAAACTCCTTTGTGAATATCTTTGTGAAAACTGCGGATGCCCTATCAGCTGAACATGTGCAGTGCATTGTGCTCTATGGCAAAATTCTTCCTGGTCTAGAGCTCCTTAGAGTTGCAGCACCTATGGAGCAGCCACTAGTCAGTTTCGCAAAGGGACAGGGGGGAGTGTCTTATCCATTTCTTATTCCATTTTAGGAAAAAATGCCTTAAAACAATCACTACAGGCAAAAATGTAATTACCATGTCAGAGCATAAATAAGAATACATTGCAACAAAGTGATATCCCTGTCATCATCTTTTTTAAACAAACCCCACTAACAAAGAGTATCTTTTTCAAGCACGTAAATATTTTTCTATTTTATATTAAAATCCTCAATGTACTGTACCATTTGCTTTGTCGACAGAGCTGTAAACCCTTGGCTTTCCCTAAATGAGCTTCTTGATGAAGTCACCTTAAATGGTTTTCACTTCACTTCAAAGAATGCAATAGGGTTCAAAGCAAAGGGCGGCTATTTTTAAATTGTTTTTTATCTAGTTTTTATCTATGCCTTCAGTGAGAATCTACAATGTACATAATAATGAAAATAAAGAAAAAGAAAAGAAAAGTGTGTCCAAACATTTGACTGGTAGTGTATATAGGTTAGCTGATATGCAAGTGGACCATACATTATCCCTATGGTGAAATTGGTCTTCTGCATTTGAGTCATCATGTTCTCCACCTGTCAGGAGCAGTGGGTGCCTCTAAACATATAGACTTCTGCCTTATAATTAGTAACTTAGCTAACTGTGTATGTTTTATGGCTTCTCATGTTTCCAGGGAATCAAACCCAGCACTGTTACTGTGTTTTTAGACCAATTTCAACCCCCCCTCAGAATATTTATAGTATTGTATGTATGAAGCTTTCTCATGCCGTCACATCACTTCTTATTTTGGTCTCGACATTGCTGAGTTAAAAGTGTCCCTTGTATTAACTTGACAGTGATTTGAGTGGGCAGGCCAGAGTTAGGTATAACACACACACACACACTCTACTCTGTGCTTGCAGCTATGGCACAGTCAGGTCTCCCACATTTGTCCTGATGAGCTACAGTTCCCTCCTTCCTCAGACAGAAGAGCCCCAGGCGCTGCTAACTTTCATGTGAGCTTTAAAGACACTGAAGACTAATACAGCCACAGCTATTTGGGGAAATGGGACTTCTCCTGTTGTGGTGGTCTATCTCTGCAGTAGTTATTGTGCTGACAATCCCTGAGGCCCATCGTGTGGTGGGAGAATTCATCCGGGCTGTATTGGTTGGTAAAAGTGTGTGTTTGTGGAATGGATTCAAAATTACATTGCGTTTTTCTTTTCTGTTTGGGAAGACCAATATGCTACAAAAAGTTGCTAAGGGATTACTCACAATTAAATGTATTTAGCGTCACAACTTTTTGAATGACGATAGGATTCACATTAATATCACATTATAATAAACAGGGATCACAACCTTCATGTACTATAACACAACCTAAAATGAAAAATAATGAACAATTGGGATTTAAAAGTTGTTATTAATAGAATAAATTCCGCTCTAACTCTTCAGCAGCTGTTCAGTCTAGTGATAGGCGGTACCATTTTGTTTCAAAGTAATACCAAGTAATGCAACAAGAAGTATTGCAATAACAATCCAATATTTAGAATTTTGTTTTCTGCCACCTGCTGCCGTGTTGGTTGTAGTTTCTAATGTAAACCAAAGTAAGCTCCAAATGAAACATTCAATAGCTGACCAAAGGATCAATAGTATCAGTTTTTTAGGATTATAATTTTTACTAACTCTGTGAAAAGTGATGGAAAAGCCTTTAGATACACTATTGCACCAACTACCCCAATATCCTTGTGATATCTGCTTTGCCATCTGGCCTGTGTGAAATAAGTTGGCAAAAAATATTAGTAGATTACATTAACACAACCACAGGCAGTGGTGGGAAGTGACTTAATACATGTATCGATTGTATTCTGAATACTTAGTAACTGTACCTGTATTCCGGTACAGTTACTTTTTCTTTTTATGGTATTCAGAATACAGTTACATTTCTAAAATCAAAGGAATACATTACTGTACCTGAAATATAAAACACTGCTTTGGTGGTGAGTGCTATTATGTAATTGTGTAATTAAGTGTAATTTTTCCTTCTATGATAAATAAATGCAATGCAATGCTGTTATCAATCCTAAATTGCGTCTTTACACTATAATTTAAATGTGACCCTGCATGAAAGTATTTGGTATATATATTCAGAATGTATCAGAATATATTACAAAATACATTTTAATGGAGTTATTTCATATTCTGTAACTAAATACATTTTCAAAGTATTCTTCCCATCACTGATCATAAGGTTGCCCCAAGGGCATTGAAGGATTGGTCAAATGTAGAAGACAAATGTCCCTACGAAACTATAAAATGCACCTTAACCAGTTTGACTCATTATTGATATGAGGTTAGCATGAGCTTTCTTTCCAGTTCCATACCAGGTGTGTGTTGATGGAGTGAAGTCCGCCCACAGTCCAGTCCACTTCGGGCAGGGGGGATCCAGAGCCGTTACAGCTCACTGTCACATTGTCTCCCTCTGTGGCCAGAACGCTGCTATGGCTCACACTGATCTCAGGCAAATCTGAAAAAACAGAAATGCACAGTTAGGTTACCATACTTCTTGGGGACATTACATTGACTTACATGGATTTCCTGGAGATTAAACTTTGCTATAGTTACTGCTTGCCTATAACCTTGACCTAAACCAATATATCTGTACTTTAAAGAAGACATAACATGTATTCTTGTTGCTTTAAAAATGCTTTTGGTCAGTATAAGTGTAGTAATAGTTTATGGATAGCGTAGAACTCTGAATTTTTACATTTAACGCAACAATCCAGGCAAAATGAAAACGTAGCATTTTTGAGTGCTCAAAGAAGAGAATTTTTGGTCCATGGATTAATAAAACAGGCATAATTGAAACAAAATAATGAATGTGCTTAATGTGTGTCCTTTAAATCACGTTGTCGCTCTAATGATGAACAGATTTATATCATGATGACCTGATCTTTTCCCCATGAAAGAGCCAGGTCCCTGTGATGTGAGTGTTATGGCTCCTGGCCTCCACGTAGCCTGTGTTTGTTCCCATGTAAATCTGCTGTGGGAGCCCTGGCTTCTGGTTGGTGGACTGTTCTAAACCCTTGAACCTGGCTGGCTTCTGTGCCGCCTCTGCCTTAACTCCTGGCCAATCAAACTCCTCTGCCTGTTGCCATTGCTCCCATAAAAAGCCACGCCCATCCACTTGCTCCTGGCTGCTGGGATTTCACTTGAACTGCATGTCACTCATATCTGTATCTCTTATGTGTCATCAGTCACTCTGTGGTTTGTTTCTGTGGCTGTGACTTTGTTCTTTTGAGACACTCGTGCCTTTTGTTAACGTGGCTCTAGTTTTGTTGTCACTTTGATTTTATGTAATTTTGCATGAGACACTCGTAGTCATGCATGACCTCTGCATTTTTGTTCACTTAATCTTGTTTTTCTAAGTTTTAGTCATCACTAAGTTCAGTTTGAAGCTCCTCTGTTGTTTAACCTTGTAAATATCCTCTTGTAAATAGATCACTTTTGATTCCCTTAAATTTACCCTTTTCAATCCTGTTAAATTAAATTGCTTTATTGAACCATTATACATCTTGTTTTTTGTTACCACTCTCACCTAGCAAGCTGGGTCGTGAACAGATTTTAGTCCACACAGTGCGATAAATACCCACACACTTCTCCCAGCCCAATCGGCTCCTGTCAGCGCTCGTGTCTGCACAGTTACACACCAAATCAATTAATCACTTTTCATTAATGTAATAAGAGCGCTACAAAGGAACACGGGCACACACACATGCAGAGGATGTCACCGGGATGAGTCACCAGTGCGGATTCTATGCACCCCTAACCCTGTCACTCCTCCTCAGCTCCTCTCCTACTTCCTACGTCCTTCCTATTCCACCTTTCACCCTCGTCCCTCCCGCGCTGTCTCTTCTCTTTTCACTCTTCACTGACTCTCCATTCTCGTCTCTTGTGTTCATGTTGAACAGAAGACCGCAGGAGGAACAGCCAAATCACATGTTGGTATAGCACCAATTAGCTTTTGGGTAAGTCTGTCACAATAACATATTTAGAAGCACAGTGTATTGCTACTGAAAATATCAAAATAAACAATAATATTGAAATAACCTCAGTGAACTATTTTTAATGTACTCTATTGTTAAAAGGTACAGGCTGCAACAGATAACTATGAACAATGAACACATCACACTGGGGGTGTTCTACGTGTATCTCTTTTTGTTCAGAATGTTCAGTTACATGCTGAGACAATGCACACAACACAAAAAAGAAGTGCTTTCGGTTAGCTTCACACCCCCAGGGATTGTTGATGGCATCAGCTGCAAAGTATCAGTTGCAGAAAAAGTACACATAATAAATATTGAGCCCCAAAACATTCAGTCTATTAGTTATCAAACAATAAGTTGATATAATAAGTATTGTGACCTACTTTTAGCAGATGGCTCAGTGTATGTCAATAAAAATCATAGTGAAAAACATAGAGGTCTTTTTATCTTAGGAACATTAACATGGAGCAAAGGATTGCTGTCTGTATACTTTTTCCTTTCATGTAGATTATAAAACATATAATTATGGGCTTCATGATAATTTTGCCCTCTACCCATATACTAGTGCTGTTATCAAATAGTGACAGATGGAGGAAGTTGAACAGCTACGCCCCCAACTACTTTCTAGTTTTCACAAAGCCTTTCACACATCTTTATTCCTTGTGGATGAATTTATACTTTAAACTTTCAAGACTGTGAAGATAAATTTACTGTTATGGCAACAACAACAAAAACCCAAGCACATTTTTGGACAAAACGCACCTTTTTTTGTTACACACTGACACCAGCTCTTTTGTTTGTTTTGTTTCCTTTTTCGGTGAGTATGCTTCATTTGAAAGGACAGCAGATGATATAGGGGTTAAAGAATGGGGAGCACATTCAGCCCATTAAACGGGGAATCAAACTCTCAACCCCTTCAGCTGGAAAAGAGCCTTGAATTTACGCTGCTGCTAAGATCAATCATCTACCAAGCGGCAAAACAAGATGAGTAATCAGCAAATCTCAGCATGTATTTCCACATTTGCCATTGATCAAAAAGGTTCAAAAAGGTTCATAATGAGAAGAGCACACAATAGCCTATTTTGTTCACAAATTGCTGCTTTAACATTAAAGGAAACAAAAGGATACAACTATACTAAGGAAAGATATTGTTTCCATGTATCTGAGCAACATTTGCTGTCTACTGTGAGCATGAAAATAAGTTGTGTACAGTCTTCTGTCCAAAGCACTTTATTTTGCCATAATCAGGAAGTCCGTGTTAGTATGCTAGTTGTTGTTAGCTTTACCACTACAGCAAATCTCTGCAATGGTCTCTGAGAGTTGTAAAAATCACTATAAACCAGAGGTGGGGACTTACATGTCGTGACATGGACTTGAGTCAGAAAGACTTGACAATTTTTGAGTTACAATTTGAGTTACAACTGAGTTACAATTTTTAGAACTTGAGACTTGACTTGATAAAACAGACTAAGACTTGGGACTTGGTTTGAACTTTGGACTTGGACAGTTTGACTCAGACTTTAGGCCTGTGACTTGAGAAGACTTGATAATTCTGCTAAAAAAAATATGTTTTAAAAAATTAAGCACAGGCTGTGCTTAATTTTACAAGAAAAAACTGGCCCACGTCCCTCCCACTTCTCTGTTTGTTATTTTGGATGTAACTGAAGTATTTAAAGTAATATACAGGACACAGTAATATGCAGTACAATACAGTAAAATAGATTGAACTACAAAGAACATGATACTTCCATTTCAGTGCAGACTACATGATAAAATAACTGCATTTTAAAATCTGAATTCTTTCTATCCTGACTATAATAATTCACACTCTGATCTTGTCAAGACATTTAAAAAGGAAAAAATTGCATTTCTACAACTATATAACTACTCATATATAAATATACCATGACTTTTTAATTACAATTTAGTTTAAAATTCATATAAATTGCAAAAATCTATCTATATTTGGTACTTTGGTTTAAATACTTGAAATGACTTAAAGCTCAAAGCACACAGCTTGGACTTGACTTGGATTTATAGGCCAGTGACTCTGGACTCGACTTAGACTTGTCTGTCTTTGGCTTGGGATTTGACTCGGACTTGAGGTCACAGACTTGAGACTTACTTCAGACTTGCAAAACAACAATTTGGTCCCACCTCTGCTATAAACTCTGTGTATTCTGTAACAGTGAATACTTAGGTTGCTCGGAATTCATAAGGTGAGGGAGGAATAATTTTGGGCCATTGCAAACCGGTCAAAATGATCTAGTATTGTTTTTCACATTTTTAAGACAGTAAAGATCAGGTATAGCGTCTTTAAAAGCCTAAAATATTGCACCCTTACCACAGCTGTCGATGTACATGTTGTGCAGGCGTATCTCTGAAGCTCCGTTCTTGCAGTAGAGCTGCTGAGTGTTCAGACCGGCCTCTCCGCGCTGCTGCCACAACTGGATCCAGCGGATATCACAGCCGCAGTCAAACACCACGTTCTCCAGACGCCTGCAAACAAGTACACAATCACATGAATGGAATGCAAAGTGACAGGCTCAAAACAGGATCATGTAAAATGTCTCATATTATACTATTTTGTATCTATGCTACATTGTTATAAAAAACTAAACAAAACTGGAGTTGTGCTTTCTGTCATTCACACAAGTTTAACACACAAGCTCCTGTATATTTAGGCTGAGCTCTTCTCTCAAATGGAAAACACTATGTTCCACCTTGTGATGTCATGTGGTAATACAGGAAGTGCTCCACTGTGTTTTTAAACTCCATACACCTTCACTAGAATCATTTGGATGATTTCAGCCCTGGTCTTTCCCATTTCTGCCAAACTAAAGGTAAAGGGTAGCTGTAAACTACTACTGTATGACATCAAAAGGTGGAACAGAGCATTTTGAGCATTAGAGATGTAGACAGACTAAAAAGCCAAGATTGCTCAAACATGCAAATGAAACAAAACACCCCTCAAATTAGGTAAAAAAGGATCATTAAGGACATATTTTATAATAGCAAATTGTTTAAACAGGTAGAAAAAAAATGTACTTTTAAGAAGACGTATTATTAGGGATGTAACAATAACCGAAATATCATGATATCGTATCATCAAAGTTGTCACAGTAATATCGAATCACAAGTGTCTTTGCTTAAATTAAGAGTTATGGTGCAGAAATAGCTAAAAAAAGATGGAAACAGAGTGAACAACATAGACCATGATCCTTTGCTACATTTCAGTGCAGATTACATGAAGAAATAACAGTTCTAAGCACATTTAAGTCTTAGTTCTTTGGATTAAGACTTGTCAAGGCATTTTAAGAGGAAAAAGAAGCATATTAAGTAGCATATTATTTTGTTAGCCTTCACAAAATATTGCAAAAAATATCGTACTGAGAGATGTATATCGTCAAAACCGAGAGATTTGGAATATCATTACATTCCTAATCGTGAGCTCTCCACCATATCATGAGCTTTTCCACGATATAAATATTGTACCATGAGGTTTGTACCATGACGATATCGCATTGTGAGAGGATATCGTTACACCCCTACTTATTATGCTTTTTTTCAGGTATTTGTATTACTCTAAATACCATTGTGTCCAGTGTAAATTGTAATATTGACCTCAAACTGATTCTTAAAATACATGGGTCCACTGACGGCAACTGACTTCATGGTGACGTTTTGCTGTAACAAGCAGTGGATTTTTATGTACATGTGTTCTTATTGTTGAAAAAGGCCTACATGACCATTTTAAACCCTACATGTGCATTCAAGCTTTTGAATTTCTTTTGTAAATACAGAGAAGTGGGCGGAGATAAGGGATGGGTAGTAGCTAAACATAATGTGACCTTTAAATTTTACTAGGTTTCCTTCAATTCAACCTCACTCTACAAGGCTTAAATCAACTCTTCCCACTCGCCCAACGCTGAATTGCAGCTGTCACCACAACAGTTCACAATACAATAGACCGGACAATCATATCAGCCAGAGAGTCAAGGCAATAACACTGACTTACTGCACTACTAGCATGTGATAACAGCCTACAAACTGTACTGACAGAGTGATGGGAGCTGGAGTACTGCTTTTGCACAAGGTCAAGGAAAATCTCACTAAATTTGACAAAGAATGTAATTGCCATGTTAGAAAATATTGGGTAGTAAAAAATACATAAAAAGCAGATAAAAATCAAGACCAAACAGGTTATGAGCACAGATCCAAGGACCATCCTCCAAATCAGTACAATCTTTTCACTCTGCACTTGCTCACCAATGCAGTTCATCAGTTCAAATGTACATGGGAAATCAATGTCATGTCTGCCCATATATTACCGAGTTGTGCTATACATTGATTAAACTGGTAAGAACCACATAAGGTCTATTTTGACACACTATCTACTCCTTCAGACATTTCTGTTTAGAAATTATACATATTTGCAGTCCACTTTAACCATAACAACATACGTATACTAGTGATTTTCTGTCATTTGTAGAAATGGATATTGGCCTTGAGACATGGGAAGGTCAAGGGTCAAAAGCTGGGTTTGGGTGTCAGTATAGAGAGGGTATGGGGAAGGGGGAGGGGCCATCAGTCTCCATCCCCCTCTATGTGCTCAGTGTGCTGTTCGGCCACTTTCTTCACCACTGTAGCTCTCCTCTGATTTTGCATATGTCCAATTTGAACACTGTGATTAGTCAATTTGCTCATGATATATGTCTGTCCAAACGTCCTTGACAAAGGTCAGCAGGATATTGCAGGAGGATGAATAATGTATGTGGTGGGTCTAGTGCTGCATGAAGTAATAAGAAGAGATTCCTCTAGGTACATGGCACTTATTATCATGAGCTCATGGGTCTGAGGACGGTAAACCCATTCACACTGATGCACTGGAGATCAGGGGAGGTCACAGCTAAAACACTGTATTTTAGCACAGCCGGCACGTCACAAGTTAAAAAGTAAAAGTAGCTATAACCTTGGAACATGGAGGGGATGCATGGGCCTCATTCATGAAATGTTCTTATGAACAATTTTGTATTTAAGGCCTTCTTACAAACTTTTTTTTTTCTTAACTGAAAATGTTCTCCTGGAAGAAGTCAGGAGCAAAATCATTCTGTTTTAGAATAGTGTTACTCTGATAATGCAAAAACAAAACAAAAAATTCCTCCATGACTGCAAGTTACATATTTTCTTAAATTATTTCCTATAAACATATTACTATGTGATTCACTAACATTTATGAGGGGTTATATAGAGCATGTGTGCATTGGGTTCTCAGTCTGTCCCAGCCCCAGTGTTCTCCATATGGGACACTATTATAGCCCTGCGCCTGGTCACCGTGCTGGACTCAATACCCCTTTGACCCCCTCGACCAGAGTGCACTCTTATGCACCCCACCCCAGCCTCCCTCCCTCACTATTTACCGTAGGTCTGCAATCACGGAAAGTGCAATAAATACAACAAAAATGACTGCTTATTTCAATTTTATGACTTATATAATCCCGTCACTGAGTGTGTTCATGTGAGTTTGGACAATTGAAATGGCCTCTGAAGCTGTAAAACAGCCATAGTAGATGTGCTCCACCTGACTTCCTCATCACTCTCACCCTCACCCTTTTACACGGCATAACACTAAACCCATACTGGAAACATTTGGAAGGTCAGAGGGCATTTCTAACCAAATACATTATTAATTTTCTATGTAAATCAAATGTAAATGAGGTGTTTATAGCTGGGTATTGGTGAATTAGGCGCAACTGTCATTAAAGAAGGAATCTGGCTGCTTAAAAACATTTTGTGAATTTGGTGAAGAGTTTTCTTAGCCTTTTCTTAAAGTGGAAATTACGAACATTTTTTTAAAGAAAAGATTCATGAATGAGGCAGATTGTTTGTTTGTTTTTTGTCTGTGATGCTTTATCCCAAACAATAGCCTGTATAGTGTTTATAGACAGTGAGGTGACTGCAGACAGGTACAATAGCCCAGGTGAGCACAGTTCTGTGCTACATCCTGTAGTGCTGAGTAAGTTGAACTGTGCAGGATCAAAGCTCAGCACAGTGCAGCTGTCTCTCTCTCTCCTCACGGCTCCTCATGGCCTCATTATGCTAATTGTTAATAAGAGGCTCCGCCTCTATGCATGGTCCAGTAGGCCTGTGGGGGCAGGGTGCAGCTGTGCTCATACACCTGTTAAGTCCACAGGAGTACAGTAATAAGGGCTACAGCAGGAACATCTGAGCGGGTATAAGACAACAGTGGGGAAAAGCAGACGTCTGGGGCTTGATAAATGTGTGGAGGAGCACACATTAGACTTGTAAAGAAGCAGAGCAGAGCGACCTGAGCCTGCAGCAGAACAACACAGTTTCCTTGAAGCTGGTTAACGATCCGCCTCAGCACTCCAGAGGAGGCTAATGATCAGCAGCACCAGGGCGAGCTTTGGGAGAGGTACACACAGGTGCCCGGGTGCTGAGGGCCAATCACAGCACACATATTACACTGCTATAAGGCTCTACTGCAGTGTACTCACACACACTTTGATCACAGCATGATACTGTCAGGTGTGACTGTCTCTTTAACATCACATGATTTCACATGTTTGTTCTCACACAGAGCTTCTTTCCTCTGTGGCTTAGAGTTCAGTTTCATGTGCTCCACAGGTAATGCACAAGTATAAACATACAAAGACATCCCACAGGCTACGCTGCAATGTCCCTCTTTTACAACTATACAATCTATATACAGTACATGTCAAGTCCCACTCACCGCATGCCTCCCTGTTGTTGCTCATTTTCACTGCCTCTTCAACCAGGGACTATTTTCGAGCGCACTTCAGATGCAAATGACTGTTGTGTTTCCTGCACATTGGACTTCCCATACATTTCTTGTCAATCAGCATTGTGCCTGGCTCTGTCATTATCATTACAATGTGGGAAAGAGATAATCTAGCTGTCAGGCCGTCACGGTGCCTTGCAGACTCTTGAAGGCTCTGAGTGACAGTTTGACATCCCCTCATACAAATGGGCTGAATAAACACATGTTACACTGGCGTGCACTGGCCTCAGCTCCATCTGCATGATGGATACTTTAGGGCTCTGTGAAAGTGTCACCAGTAAAGTCATTTTTAGCTTTTAACAACAAATAAACACAGCTTAACATTGTTAGCTCTCCTGGCTCATGTAGAGTGCAATGAATTTCCTGCTTGTGTTACTATGATTTCTCAGCGGCTCCTTCAACCAACCATAGCTCTGGTTATAAAAGAACTAAAAAAAATAAGAGAGAATTTATCCTTAAGGGAGTGTGACAACCATTCAAGGCCAGTGTCTGTAAGATTTCTTCACACACCTCACTCTTCAGTGAGCACACAGACCATCAAGCAGCAGAGTTATATGGTATCAAGTTACCCAACCGCAAACTGGTGACGAGCAAGAGTTCAGGTTATGACAAAGCAGAAATATTCAAAATAATTACTACCATATTGTGTGATAGTATTTAGTAGAATTATATTCTA